ATGAGCAGGGGAGGGTCAGAGAGAGAGGGAGTCACAGACTGAAACAGGCTCCAGGCTCTGAGCTGGCAGTCAGCACAGAGCCCGATGCGGGGCTCGAACCCACGAACCGCGAGATCATGACCTAAGCGAAAGTCGGACGCTCAACCGACTAAGCCACCCAGGCGCCCCAGGAATTGTTGTTTTAAAACTTCTAAACATTTGGGGCACCAGGGTAGCTCAGTTGGTTGAGTGTCATACTCTTTGTTTTGGCTCAGGTCATGATCTCATGGTTCAGTAGATCAAGCCCTGTAACAGGCTCCACGCTGACAATGTGAAGGCTGTTTGGGATTCTCTGCCCCTCCCCTGCTCGCTCACTCTTTCTCTCTCAATAATCGCTATATATTAAAAAAAAAAAAAAAAAAAAATAGCCTTATAGCCATTCTCTGTTAAGGGTTAAGCCTTAATATCACTCTTCCCACTGCTCCCCAGTGTGGATACTAATAATCCATGCTGGAGTGGGCATGCACACCAAGTAACAGCAATACAAACATGTTATTTAAAGATATGGAAGTGAATACTTAGGAGCTAGCTACCTTTGGGAACAGAAAATAGGGGTTGAGGCCAGAAGACTGCTGTTTTGGGAACAAGCCATGTACTTAGTTTGATTCTATAAGCATAATTTTGATTCTAAAAAAAAAAATACATAATATCACTCTGTGTAGTTGTTATTACTGACAGTCCCCAGCAGGACTTGGACCTTTGCTAATATTCTGGAAGCGCAGGGGAGAACTCAGCACGGAGCTAAGGGAAAGGAGTGCAGATCTAGGTCCTGTCCCAGACAGGCTCTGCTCCAAAGATGATTCAGAGCAGTTAGAGTGTTTCCTGTCAGGTTAGTAGAAATTGTAGTGTGGAAAAGACTGCACTGAAGTACATTCACTATTTATCTTTAGAGCAAAACTCACCAAAGAAGAGGCTACTATAGAACTAGACGTTACTCTTCAGAAAACAGGAATGTAAATGTGGTTTATGGGCTGGAAGCGCACTCACAGGACAACAAAGACCATGAATGAAATGAGAGGGGGGGGGAAGGGGGGAGATGGGCACGGAGAGGGGCACTTGTGGGGATGAGCACTGGGTGTTATATGGAAACCAACTTGACAATAAACTACTTAAAAAAAAAAAAGAAAAAAAAAAAAAGGACCATGAAGGAGAACTGCCAGGTGGTCATTCCCCACAGCTCTAAGGTGTCCAGGCCTCAACAACTGATGGGAACGTCGTCTTGTTTCCTGGCAAAAATCAAAACCTACTGTGGACTGCTTTACCCACCTGCACGGTCTCCTTTCAGCGTGTCCCATACGTTACAATTGAAGTCATCATAACCAGCTAACAGGAGGCGCCCACTTTTCGAGAAAGCTACAGAGGTGATTCCACAGATAATATTGTCATGAGAATAGAGCAGTAGTTCTTGGTCGGCACGGAGGTCAAAAAGCCGGCAAGTGGCATCATCAGAGCCAGTGGCAAAGGCATATCCGTTTGGGAAAAACTAGAAAGAAAAGGAACATTTATTCCACAGGAGAACACAAAAACCATGTGCGGCAACAGGATGACAGACGGAGTAACACAGATCTCGCCTCAAACTCCAACTTGGCTTCTTACCAGGTGAAAGATGTTGGACCCTGAAAATTCTTAAACACTTTGGGCTTTGGTTTCAGAGTGCTGGTTAGGACTGAATGAACTAACATGCAAGGTACATGGTTTAGCACATAGCAACTACTCAGTAAATGCTGGCTGTTCCTCCATACGGCTTATTAAAAGATTTAAATTGAATATTACTATTCACAGAATTTATGTACGTGTGCTCTTAAACATCCCAAAATCCCACTATGAGAAATAAATAGAAAACGTTTTACAGCAGAGAATATAAATCATCCTGGCTAGGTATAAATTTAAGCTAGTAGTAAGCTATGCATTATTAGTTTGTAAATCCCTTTTTCTCAGAACCTGGCCCTACTCACTGTTTTAAAGAAAAAAAAAAAAAAAAGACTTTTTTCATATACCTGTTAGTCATCTATATACTTTCATGAACTGATTTTTCATGACCTTTGCATATTTTTACTAGGCTGTTAGTGCTTGATTTGTAAGAATAAGATGGATATAAATTTTGTTTTTTGCAAACATTTAACAGTTTTTTATAGTTTTCTTTTTTTAATAGCAGTGTTTCTTTTAAGCAGTATTTCATTTTTATGTAGTCAAATTTCTTTCCATTTGAGAATTCTTCCATTGTTTTTATGAATAAAGTCCTTTTTCAGGATTATTACCTAATATTCAACTGTATTTTTTTCTGATTTTTAAAAATAATTTCCTTTTTCACATCTTAGTTTTTATCCATCTGGAATTTGATATACAGCAGTCAGTATAAGGATCTAACTTATTTTTCTTAATAGTCAAGCAACTGTCCCAGCTATTGATTGTTACATCTTTAATTCACTAAACTCTTATATACACAAAAATGTTAGTTCTGTCTTTCTTATTCCTGTACCACACATTTTTTAAAATCATAACCTGACTAAATTTTTCTATTTGGTATGGCAAAATACTCCTATTACTCTGATTCAAATCAGTCTATTTTTTTTCCCCACTTGAATTTCACAGACATTTGATCAAATTTCTTCATATTCCTCTGACTCATCTCAAAAAAAAAAAAAATCCACTTGGGTTTTAGCTGAAATTTGTAGTAAGCGTAAAAATTAGTTTGAGGGATGAGTGATTGAGAAGACTGCATTTTATAAACCATTCAGTATTAGGGAATTTTATGTACATTTATTTTTTTTATTTTTTAAATGTTAATTTTTGAGAGAGAGAGTGAATGGGGGAGGAGTGGGGGGGGGGGAACAAGCAGGCCCCGTGCCATCAGCGAGGAGCCCGACATGGGGACTCTATCTCGCGAACCATGAGATCATGACTTAAGCGGAAATCAAGAGTCCTGATGCTTAACCAACTGAGCCACCCAGGTGGCCCTTACTTTACTAGTTTAAGATTTTAAGTAATCTCTACACCCAACATAGGGCTCAAACTCACAACCCCAAGATCAAGAGTCACATGCTCCAACTGAGCCAGCCTGGTGCCCCACAGATAGGAAATTTAAAAACTACCCCTACACTCTCGGATGAGGCTGGAGGAAGGGAGTGATAACAGGTTAACAGGTTCTCAGAAATGCAAGTACTTGCACTTTACCAAACCGCTTTACCAAACCCTTACTGCTAGAGGCTAATGGTTCTGACCACTTCCTTCCATTCTACCAGCCAGCAAGACACTCTGTTGTTCCTTTGCAGTAAGTCCAGCAATGCCATCTGCACGCATTTATCAGCATGTATGGATTCCACGTGTTCTCTGCCATGGACCCAAATAGAAGCGATAGTGCATGCAGTGCAGGATGCCTAGTGCAGAACACCCAGTCAAGATGGCGCTTTGGCTCTGTATATGGGGGCACAGCATGCCACCATTCTTTGTTCAAGAGACAGGATGAGCAGACATCCTTCACAGGATAGTCTCTGTTTATGCCTTTCTCCCTGGCAAAATTAGTAACCACCCTTTTTCATACTGAAAATTTCACATTTCCTAGTTTGGATGATATATGCTCACTTTACCAGTACAACAAACTAGTTTTAATTGCCCTTAGAACTACAGGAAATTAGCCCTGAGATAAGCTAATCACCTTTAGAACTATAGGAAATATATAGATTTAAATGCATGTGGCACATTTAATATACATACACTCAAAACTGTGTGTGATGTTGGCAGTTCATTTAAGTTGGTTTTGGGTGGGGGGGGGGAGTGGTGGCTGTTTTTAAACGACTGAGGGGAGCTTTCTAGTACTGAATTTTTTGTTTTTTAAGAATGGGTGTTTGGGGGAGCTTGGGTGGCTCAGCCAGTTAAGCATCAAACTTCGGCCATGGTCTCAAGGTTCCTGAGATCAAGCCCGGCATTGGGCTCTGCGCTGATGGTGCAGAACCTTCCTGGGAGTCTCTCTCCCACTCTGTCTGCCCCTCCCCTGCTCTCTATCAAAATAAATAAATAAACTAAAAAAAAAAATGGGCATTTGCTTTTTATCAGATACCTTTCAGTATCCAGAATACTGAACCTGATGGAGTTTTTATTAATATATTTCCTAATATTGAATCATTCTTACATTCCTATAATTTTTACTTGATAATCTGTTTTTTACTTTGACATACTGTTGGATTTAATTTGCTATATACTTTTTCCTAAGATGCTCCTTTCTAGTGTTAAGGGGAACCCAGTCTTATGTTTTGGTGTAAGAGTTATGCTAGTTTATCTGACACAACAAACCGGAAAACTTTGTCTTTTTCTGTGTTCAGGAACAGATTTAATAGCACTAAAATTTTCTTGATCCTTCAAATGAAGTAGGAATTATTTGCCAAAAACCTACATGGGTCTGTAAGTTTTTTTAAAGCTATTTTTTTGTTAAAGAAAATTATCAAGCTATTCAAGGTTTTACTTATTAAGACAGTTTTTGGAAAACTGATTTACAATTACTGTAAGTTATACAGTATATATTTAAGATTTAAAAAAAAATTTGTATTTACTTTAGAGATACAGAGAGCACAAGTGGGGGAGGTGCAGAGAGAGAATGAGACACAGAATGCGAAGGAGGCTCCAGGCTCTGAGCTGTCAGCACAGAGTCCGATGCGGGGCTCAAACCCACAAACCATGAGATCATGACCTGAGCCAAAGTCAGATGCTTAACTGAGCCATGCAGTTGCCTCTTTCTTAAGATTTTTAAAGTCTTAAACAAATTAAAAAAAGAAAAAAAATGTTTTATCTGTAATATAACCTTTACTAGAATATCTTAATTTTGTGTATCTACAGTTTTTATCCTTTTCCTCTTAAATTTACTAGAGATTTAGGGAGCAAAGTTTTAGATTATTGAATTTTAAAATTTTCTAATAGTTTTAAAGTAGTTTTCTATTTTAAAATTTTCTAAATATTTGTTCATACAACTATTCACTGAGCACCTACTGGCTCATGCACCGTTCTGAGTGCTAGTCTGGTGATATACAGAAGTCAACAAAACTGACAAAAATCTGTCTCCGGGGAGCTTATATTCTTGTGAAGCAGACGATAAACACAAAATGTTAAAAAATAAGCATGTTAGATAAGTGCTAAGGAGAAAAATAATAAAGCAGGAAAAAGGAAAGTGAGTGTGGGCAAAAGCTTAGGGTGTCCAGGGAAAGCTTTACTGGGAAGTAATTACTAAATATAGCTCCCCCTGCCCCACAGGAAGTGAACAATGAGCTTCTGCTGGGCAGATGCAGGGGGGGGGGGCGGTAAGTGAGGGTGACAGCCCCCATGGTGGAAATGTGGTGGTCAGGGGTAGGGAGGCCAGCGTGACCGACGCAGAGTGAGGACTGGGCAGATGGCAGTAAGAGGTAGGCAGCATGGGTAATGGGGAATCACAGGCCCATAGGCCCTAACAGGCTGATGTAAACCCCTTGGGATGGTGGTTGTTCAGATTTTACAGAAGTTACATGCTGTGTATAAAATTAAATTCCACAGGGCCTGGAGTAGTGCGCTGTAATAAAACACAACAGTGTGTGCTGAGTGAACGATGCGGTCAGACTAAGTGGGGTAAATACAGACTATACACAAATAGCTCCTTGTCCTTCCAGTGAGGGTCTGCCACAGAGTAAGCCTCCACTAAACTGAAGGGAGAAGACGCCTTTCAGAAAACTCTGCGGATGTCAGAGTTGCAGCTCAGGGGCTGGACGGACTACAGGTAAGAGGCAGAGGGCAGACCATGGAGGATCTGCTGGTTCAGGTAGACTCACTTCAATCTGTATTTCTGCTTTGCTCTTTACCAGCTTCTTCCTCTCACCTTCCTGGTGTGAATGGTTCTTTTCCCATTTTCCCAAGTCCTGAGCTATTATTCACTTCATTTATGATTTCTTTCGTGGCCTACTATGGGAATGGTTTTTAGGTTATGTTTAAGAACATCTGTATGGTGCAGAGTGCAGGAAGTTTATTCAGTCAACATTATTAAACTGTATTATTTAATCCTTATTTCTTTTTTCTTGACTACCTAGGATATCAGTATCTCAAAGTTGTATGTGAAACTCTCTTACTCAATATTGTTTTGGGTTCATTTCTCCCTGCATTTCGAATGGTTTTGGCTTCATGGGCATTTCAGTGTTATGGCTTCACGACAGACCATCTCTTACTAAAGCTTCTTAATTTCTGTTTCAACTTTATTTTGTCTAATAGAAATATAGTAATATTACTACAGATTTCTTTTAAGGTGTGCCCACTTTTCATTTTTACTGTTAGCCATCCTGGGCCATTTTGTTTTAGATGCAGCTCTTGTAAACAACATGTAGTTGGACTTACTCTGGATCCTTTAGTAGTGGCAACCATATACATGTATTGCCTTGAGTTACTATATTTGGTCTTAATCTCTTATCCTATATTTGTTCAGAAGCGTTCTGGCACTATCTACTCAGGAAAAGTGTGAGGGTAGCCTGATTTTTATTTTCTTTTTTTTTTTTTTTGTATCTAGGTAATCTACTAGATTTTCATTTTGAGTATCTCTAGGATATTTTTGTCTTTATATTTTGATATTTTAAATTCAAGAGAATAGGTCTATGTTGGTCTTTTAAAATTACTTTTATTAAATACTGGGCAAGCCCCTCAAAATTGGTTTCTTTCTTCAGCTCACTTTACGCTTAAGAAATTATTTCTTGGCTATACTTCTGCTTTCAGTCAAAATGGAATAATGGTGGGGCACCAGGGTGGCTCAGTTGGTTAAGCATCTGACTTAGGCTCAGGTCATGATCTCACGGTTCATGGGTTCGAGCCCCGCATCAGGCTCTGTGCTGACAGCTAGCTCAGAGCCTGGAGCCTATTTCAGATTCTGTGTCTCCCTCTCTCTCTGACCCTCCCTTGCTCATGCTGTCTGTCTGTCTCTCTCTCAGAAATAAGTTAAAAAAAACACTAAAAAAATTAAAAAACCCAAAATGGAATAATGGTGATCACATTTACCCCTATGCTGAAAAAAGCAAATAAAATGGAAAAGATTTGAAACATGGCTCTAAAGACAGTGGATAGGAGTCAACAAAGGAGAGTGGTCCCTGAGAGACAAGACACAAATGAGGTAAGCCCCCTAACTGCCCCTTGTTCATACCTGGAGAAAGTTTACAGGTCATGGTGCCGGGAAGGCAAACCCAGATGAAGCCCAGTGATACCCCAGAGTTGAGCAGACAGAGCCAGGAACCCAGGGAGTCCAGGAAGCTAGAGTTCACAGTCCAGAGCACCAGAGAGGGCAATGCTTGGTAGACAGAAAAGTCCAGAGATGATGAAGGGCCCCTCAAGTACTCAGCTGAATAGTGATCACAGGTATGTGAGGAAACTATTCAAGTAGCGAAGACACTCAAGAAGGTAATAGGAAACTGATGTTCACGCGGGGCCAGGAATGATGCCTGTCCCCCTCTCACAAGAGGGAAATCCTCATTAATTCACTGGGAAGAGAGAGAGAAGGTTTTCCCTCCCTGGTGGAGCAAACTTAAGCGTACACAAAATGCTGCGCTGGTCCCACCTAACAAAACTGAAATGTAAGACGTGAAAAGATCAAACTATTCCCAAATAATTATCCCCTAGAACAAAGCAATATTTATATAAATAAAAATATATCCAGCACCCAATAAGGCAAAATTTACAATGTCTGGCTGGCATCTAATGAAAATTGGACATGCTATCCCCCACTTAATCTCTCTCTCTCTCAAAAATAAACATTAAAAAAATAGAATTAAAAAAGAAAATCAGACCTGCAAGAAATAAAATATGACCTATCATTAGAAAAATCATTCAGCTGACACCAACCCCAAAAATGTCATGGATGACAGAATTAACAGACAAAGATGAATGCAATGTCAGAGATTAAAACCTATGCCATATGGGCTTAATGGCAGATTAAGACACCACAGGAGAGCAGTGACCTGAAGACCTAGCAAGAGAAACTATCCAGAGTGAAAAACAGTGAGAAAGAAGACTCAAAAATAAAAGTAACACAGCACAAGTGAACTGTGGGAACACTTCAATTGTCTTTATATGTATTTGAAGCCCCCAAGGAGAGACAAAAAAAAAAAGTGAATATTAATGGCTGATAATTTTCCAATTATGATGAAAATTTTAACCTACAGATCCAGACACACAAAACGTGAAGAAAATTACACAAGACACATTGTAATAAAGCTGCTTAACAGAAAGAGAAAATATTAAAAGCAGCCACAGGACACACTGTGTAGAGACCAAATACAAGCATGATGGCACTTTTCATATCAGTACCAACATAATCTGGGAAACAGTGGAATAACATATTTATGGTCTCAAAAGAAAAAAAGGTAAAGATATCTAAAAAATGAAGACAAAATTTAAAAAATTTTTTTTAATGATTTTAAGTAATCTGTACTCCCAACACGGGGCTCAAACTCACAACCCTGGGTTCACAAGTCACATGCTCTTCTGACTGAGGCAGCCAGGCACCCCAAAAATATTTTAGACATACAAAAGCTGAAGGACTTCAGCAGATTTGCACTATAAGAAACATTAAAGGAAGCCCTTCAAGAAGGAGGAAAATAGATGAAAATCTGAATCTATAAACAAAAGAATGAGTACAGAACATGGTAACTATGTAAGTAAACATAAAGACTTTGTTAAATCCCTCCCTAAAAGAGCATTGGCTTTTAAAAGCAAAAGCAGTTTTATCAATGTACTGTTGAGTAAAATTGCAACAACTGCACAGAGGCTGGGAGGGGAAAGGGGAATATCCAGTACGAGGTTCTTATCTTGACGTAAAGTGGTGTAAGAGCAGGTGAAAGCAGACCGCCACAGGAGGGTGCCGAGATGAGGGGAATTCTCTTCCACTGGTTGGAATGCAAACTTGTGCAGCCACTCTGGAGAATAGTATGGAGGCACCTCAAAAAGTTAAGAATACAACTACCCTATGACCCAGCAATTGCACTACTAGGTGTTTGTCCGAAGGACACAGGAGTGCTGATTCAAAGGGACACATGCACCGCGATGTTTACAGCAGCACTGTCAATAATAGCCATATTATGGAAAGAGCCAAATGTCCAACAACAGATGAATGGATAAAGAAGATGTGTATATATACAATGGAATAATATTACTCAGCCATCAAAAAGAATGAAATCTTGGGGCGCCTGGGTAGTTCAGTCAGTTAAGCGTCCAACCCTTGATTTCGGCTCAGGTCATGATCTCATGGTTTGCAAGTTTAAGACCCACACTGGGCTCTGCTGACAGCTCAGAGCCTGGAATCTGCATCAGATTCTAGGTCTCCCTCTCTCTCTGCCCCTCCCCTGCTCACTCGCTCTCGTGCACGCGCACGCTCTCTCTCTCTCTCTCTCTCTCTCTCACACACACACACACACACAGTCTCTCTCTCTCTCTCTCAAAAATAAACATTAAAAGAAAAAAACCAAAATAGATGAACAGAGGGGAAGAAAAGGGAAAAAAAAAAAAACAGGGAGGCAAACCATAAGAGATCTTAACTACAGAGAACTGAGGTAGTTGGAAGGGAGGCTAGTTGGGGGATGCTCTAAATGGGTAGTGGGAATTAAGGATGGCGCTTGTTATGATGAGTACTGGGTACTGTATATAAGTAATGAATCACTAAATTCTACTCCTGAGGGGCGCCTGGGTGCCTCATCACTTAAACATCCAACTTCAGCTCAGGTCACGATCTCACAGTTCAGGAGTTTGAGCCCCACGTCAGGCTTTGCACTGATCATGCAGAGCCTGCTTCAGATTCTGTTTCCCTCTCCTCTGCCCCACCCTGGCTTGCTCTCTCTCTCTCTTCAAAAATAAGTAAACATAAAAATTTTTAAAAATGATTTGCAATCATAGTATTTTTGGAAACCCTAGTCACGTCTATACAGTTTGGCATCTGACATACATAGAACAATTATAATTACATATGACTAGTTTGTTCTCATACACACGGAGTACTTATTTGAACTTAAACTACTTGTGGTTACGTTTGTAGTTTCTGTTGTTAAAATCATGTTGTAGATTTCAACAGTTTAAATGCATAATAAATTTTCCTTAGAAATGCTATTTACTTACACTGACAGCATTAATATCTGACACGTGTCCAGTGAAAGACTGTCTACACATTCCATCTCGAATATCCCATAATTTTGAAGAGGCATCACAAGCACCAGAAACAAAAGTCCTCATGTCAGGACTCAGAGAAAGACTCATCACATCTCCAGAATGCCCAGTGAATGTGGTGGTCTGCTGGGCAGTTTCGATGTCCCATAAAGCACTATAATCAAAAATAAATTAAAATAATGACTATTATATCTTGTTCTTATGTTAGTTCCTACTACCACCCTCTACCTCCCAATCAATGTTCTTGTGGGCCACACTTACCAAGTTGTATCTCCTGAACTTGTGACAATTTGGCTGTCATCTAAAAATCGACAGCAGGACAAGTAGCCTACAAGCATGAGAAAAATCAGCAACACATTTTAGGTTAGGCACAGTTCATTAACTCAATTACCATATGAAATAGTAATACTACTGACTTTTTTAAATCAATACACGGGCAACATATGTTAGTATAATCTGCAGTTCTACTTTTAATTACTTCAAGTTCTATGCTGTCTGCAACGAAATTGTATCAAAAGCTTGGATATTTACTATGTCAACGGTGTCTTGTTGGACACACTGAGAATTACAATTAAGGCAGCAGTCCCTTCTGTCTACTAGAATTACCTGAGAGATTCCTTTACACAAATATCTATGACAGACTGGGCTCAGTACACAGGGAAGTCCTTCAGTAATAATGTGAGAAATTATAACCACCTCAAGGGAGGCTTCATGAAAAAAAAAAGGGGGGGGGGCGCGTCATTTGAATGTTCAGAATTCACCAGGTTTTCAAAATATGGAAATGGCAGAAAAATGACATTAGAGATTCTTGTAAAAAACATGGTCAAGAATTCAGAGAGGCAGAAATCTGATAAATGGAAATAAACTGCTTATTAACACTGCTAACGAAATCCTATACATGACTGTGTACACACTATGGTGTACATACTGTCAAATAAAGCAATGCATTATCACAATGATGGAGTGTTTCTCAATGTGTATCTAATACATACTTCCAGTTACATAACTAAGTACAGATGCCAAATCCAATCATTGTCAGATGGTTGAAGAGAAAACAGAATTATTTTGCTTTTTGGTTTATTATTGTTTGAATATTTTGTAATCAACCTGTCATTTTTACAAAATAGCACTATTTTTGAAAGAAAAATAATGTTATGGTCATCATTTGTGTAAGTATAAAGTTTGTATTTTCCTGATTCTTCATAATTTCTACTCTCACTTGATTGACACTCCACTTTCACCAGCTGAGCACAACCTGTCATTCATTTCCCTCAATCAGTTCATTCTTTAGGAGTCCTCAATTTGAAAGGAAAGGATGATATTTAGTGAAGCTCACCTGTGTGACCTGGTAACTCTCGGCTCACTCTCACGTTTCCCTCTCTGGTTTTTAAGTTATATATAGAGCAGATGTTGTCCAGTCCTCCACATGCAACATAATTACCAGAGGGGGCATAGGCACAGGTCATCACCCAGGACGACCTCAGAGGAATAGCATGCAACTGTACAGCAAATATAACAAAAACTGTTACCAAGATTACAAAAAGATTACATTTTTCAGACCTATTTCTAGTGAAGCAAATATTACTATATTACTAAAAATTAAATGCATCTAAAAATAAGCCGAGACACACCTGGGTGGCTCAATCAGTTAAACATCTGGCTTATGATCTGATTTCGGCTCAGATCATAATCTCAGGGTCATGGGATCAAGCCCTCCGTTTGGCTCCATGCCTAATGAATCCAAGCCTGAGATTCTCTCTCACTTTCCCTTTGCACCTGCCCCACTCACGCTTGCTCTAAAAAACTAAATAAAAATAAGCTGAATTAAAAATGCAATGGTTTAAGTGAATGAAACCTAAAATACTAATTCATATTAAAATACCTATTTTTTTCTGTATTAATATCAATTCATTCAGATTTAAGTGTTCGCATCAGAAATTCCCTTGGGGCACCTGGGTGGCTCAGTCATTAAGGATCCAACTCTTGATTTCAGCTCAGGTCATGATCTCACAGTTCATGAGATGGAGAGCCCTGTGTTGGGGGTCTTGCTGGCAGCATGGAGCCTGCTTGGGATTCTCTCTGACCCTCCCCTAATTGCGTACACACACACTCACGCTCTCTAAATAAAAAAACAAACATTTAAAAATTATTAAGAGAAGCAAGGACACAGGATGTTTCAATACCAATCTACCCATTCAAATTATTAAGTAAAAAAAAGAATAAAATTCTTTGTTTTGGCAATAGCACTCAAAAGAGGAATTTCCTCCATGACTACAGTGAACAACACAAGTCTCAGAGGCAATTAAAATGGTTCTTCCATGTAAAGATGGCACTGTATCCTTATAATAGGATATACACTCTGTGCTCAAATTCAAATAATGGTAAAAGTTTGCACTAATCTGCCCACATCATTCTGGGACCTTGTTACCAATACCAATTATTTGCAAGTAGGTGGCAAAATTTGGAATAGCAAGGCTAAATGGTCCAGAGAATCAACACACTGTATGATTACTGTGATGTTCTTATTTAAATCTAAAATATCTTTGGGATGTCTGGGTGGCTCAGTTGGTTAAGCATCTGACTTCAGCTCAGGTCATGATCTCATGATTTGTGGGTTCAGGTCCTGCATTGGGATCTGTGCTGATGGCTCAGAGCCTAAAGCCTGCTTCAGATTCTCTGTCTCCCTATCTCTCTTCCCCTTCCAAGCTTGTGCTTGCTCGCTTGCTCTTTCTCTCAAATAAGCACTAAAACAAACAAAAAACTTTAATATCTTTAAAACTATTTTTTAAAAAAATTAAAAAATAAAACTTATTTTATTCTAGGAAAATATAGTTGAAAGATATGGGCCAATTAGTATAGAAAAACTGGTGCAAATCTGTCTTAGCTAGCTTTAAAATTTCAACCAGACTGAAGTTGTCTGCTTCAAAAAACTGTATTTTTAAATCTTTAGTAAAAATAGTGATATAAGAATATACAAAATCTAACAGGTATTTGATGTAAGTTTTCCCCTACGACTCAACACTTTTCCATCAGGATTCCTTCCAATGAAGAAGGAATTATTAGCAAGACCCTGTAGGATTTGCCAAAAGATAGGAAGAAGTTGTAATCTGCCTCCAATCTACTGCATCTTCTGAGCACTCCGGAAACAAAAATCAATACCTACAGTAGACCTAAGAAAAGGTTCACAGTAGCATTCTGGCACACCCACAACTAGAAACAAAAGTCTCAGGGTCATCGCCACATTAGAAAATGGGAATTAAGGGGCGCCTGGGTGGCTTAGTCGGTTAAGCGTCCGACTTTCGCTTAGGTCATGATCTCGCGGTTCGTGGGTTCGAGCCCCGCGTCGGGCTCTGTGCTGACTGCCCCCTCAGAGCCTGGAGCCTGTTTCCAAGTCTGTGTCTCCCTCTTTCTCTGACCCTCCCCTCTTCACGCTGTCTCTCTCTCCTAGAAATAAATTAAAAAAATATTAAATAAATAAATAAATGAATTAAAAAGGTGGTCACAGTCATTCCGTCACTGCGAGTGTGGATGCCAAGTGATGTTAAGAGGTTGGATGTGCTTGGGGTTACTGAGCAGTGGTAACTGGAGTTAGTCTTCAGAGTAACACACAGCTTCACTTTNAAAAAAAAAAAAAAAAGAAAATGGGAATTAAAGAAAAAATCGGGCACCTTGGGTGGCTCCATCGGTTAAGCATCCAACTTCAGCTAGGGTCATAAACCCATGGTTCATGAGTTCGAGCCCCACATTGGGCTCTGTGCTGACAGCTCAGAGCCTGGAGCCTGCTTCAGATTCCAGGTCAGTCGGTCAGTCTCGGTCCCTCTCTCCCTCCCTGCCCCCTCGCTGTCCCTCCCCCACTCATGCCCTGTCTCAAAAAAATAAACATTAAAAAAATTTTTTTTAATCATTGACAGGGTCGCCTGGCTGGCTCAGTCAGAAGAGGATTTTTTTTTGTTTGTTTGTTTTAAGAGCATGTGTCTTGATCTCAAGATCATGAATTTGAGCCCCATATTGGGTGAAGAGATTACTGAAATAAATACAACTTAAAATAAAATTTAAAATCATTTATATTTACAACTGATGCACACTCTTTTCTAATATTCAAATACAAAATATGAGACTCAAGTAAAACACACTGAACAATATTCCAACAGTTGTCCTTGGGAATATAAAAGGGCTTAATATTAAAAACAAACACTAAGCCCAAATAGAGGAATTGGATTAAAACAGATGGAATAAATTTATCTTTGAAGGAAATTAAAGTTCGAAGTAATGAAGGAAAAAACTGTTGGACACCAAACTAAATAAAAGGTTACTTAAGAGAATGATTAAGAAATCCTACCTTATTTGTTGTGTAGCTATCCCAAATAATTAAATTTCCATCCTGAGAAGCACTGACTAGTAACCTATAAGAAAAAACACAAAAATAATTTGACAGAGGAAAAAGGTAGTTTAAATTAGTCATGCACTGCATTAATGTAGAACAGTTCAGAAAAGAAAAAAACAATTTTTCTAATTAAAAACTTGATACCAGAAAATATCTTCTCGAATTTATTCTGCATGACAAAAATTTTCAATGACATAGAATTGAGCAAAATTTAAACATTTTTATTTTTTATTTATTTTTCAATGTTTTTATTTATTTCTGAGAGAGAGAGAGAGAGAGCGAGAGCATGAGCAAGTGAATGAGCAGGGGAGGATCAGAGAGAGAGGGAGACACAGAATCTGAAGCAGACTCCAGGCTCTTAGCTAGCTGAGAGCACAGAGCCCGATGTGGGGGGTTGAACCCAAGAACTGGGAGATCATGACCTGAGCCAAAGTCGGATGCTTAACTGACTGAGCCACTCAGGTGCCCCTAAACATTTTTAGAAATGTCTCTGGTTATGATTAAACTTTCTTTTTAATGATTCAACTTTTTTATGGTAATATTCTAGTACTTATTAAAGATTCTGAAGATATTAACTGACGATTATTTACTGACTTAAATTTAATGACAACAGAGTAGCTAAAAGCCTAACAACCATATTTCACTTCATCTAAAAATCTCAATGGAGAGCCTGTGAATACAGCGCAGTGTTAATAGATGCGACACAGGACATGCCTCCTGCCCTCAAGGGCCCCAGCGTCTAGGAGAGAAGATATTTACACACGTTCACAATAAATCAAGTAAGTGAAAATTGTCAGAGGGGTGATACATAATCAACACCACAGGAAAACAGAAGAGGGACAAATAAGTGCTGGTAGAACTAATCAAGCAGTCTTGCTAAGAATGCATACTGAAAAATGGAATTCTGAGACCTAAAAGTAGAGAGAAGTCTATATTCTGTGAGGAGGGTATGTTCAATGACAAGAGGTAGAAAAATAGTGTTTCAGGATATGTGAATTTTCCAGTCGCAGAGAGTGTGTGAAAAATGGGCATGATAGGTGAGAAAAGTAGAATGGGCTTCAACTGCAGAAGACTTTGTCTGCTGGCTATTAAATAGGAACTCTAAACTAAGTAACTGTTATTGAACTTCTTGTTTTCCTTTGGAAAATTTTCACTATGGTATAAAATTCAAAAGATACAAAAAAAAAATATTCAGTAGCAAAAAGTCACCTTCCTCTCCGGGTTACCAAGCCACCCAGACCCCTTCCCTGTAGGTAAATAACATTAGCAGGGTTTCATGTAGCAACTGCAGCAAATTCTTTTTTTTTAATTTCCTTAAAAGTTTTTATTTATTTTTGTGACAGAGACAGCAAGAGTGGGAAAGGAACAGAGAGCGAGAGGGAGACACAGAATCCAAAGCAGGCTCCAGGCTCTGAGCTGTCAGCACAGAGCCTGAGGTGGGCCTTGAATCCACTAGCTTTGAGATCACAACCTGACCCGAAGTCAGATGCCCAACCGACTGAGCCATTCAGGGGCACCAGCAAATTCTTTATGAAAGGAAGATCTAACATGAGGGCACAAGGCAGACGGGAAATAAATCCTGTAAAAAATCAACTGGCATCTGGGGCACCTAGGTGGCTAAGAAGATTAAGTGTCCAACTCTTGATTTCAACTCTGGTCATGATCTCATGGTTCATGAGATCGAGCCCTGGGTCTGATTGGGATTCTCTCATTCTTAAAATAAACTTAAAAAAAATCAATTGGCACCATCAACATCAAGGTGAGAAGAACTATTAAGTGATGAACTGATCAAGACAGGTTCCTTGATGTTTTTCTATGAAGATTAATATTCTTGAGAAATTTTGAGGAAAGAAAGTAACATTATTTCAAGTGACTGTATTTTCAATTAAAAGTTTGCTGCATCAATGGGGAGACTTTTTTTTCTTAAACTTCTTTAAAAATAAAACATTTGGCCTAACTTTATGCCACCTGTCTATTATATAACTTTATTTTTCCCCTCCTAGGAGGCACTTTTTTTTTTTTAAGAGAGAGACAGAGTGAGCAGGGAAGGGGCAAAGAGAGAGAGAAAGAGGATCTTAAGCAGGCTCCACATTCAGCATGGAGCCTGATTCAGGGCTTGTTCTCACAACTCTAAGATCATAACCTGAGCTGAAATCAAGAGGCAGTCATTTAACCAACTGAGCCATCCTATCACCCCACAGGAGGCACATTTCTATGTTACTGGACCCAAGTATCCCATTTACGCTAAGCTATGCCAAGCAATAAGATGACATCTGCAGCAGGCACAACCTTTTTAGTTTCTCCTGGGAAAGAATAAATGTCCAACTTTTATTAAAAAATAATTTCTTGGGCACCTGGGTGGGTCAGTCGGTTAAGCATCTGACCTTTGATTTAGGTTGAGGTCATGATCCCATGATTTGGGAGATCCAGCCCAGCATCAGGCTCCACGCTGACAGCATGGAGCCTGCTTGGGATCCACTCTCTCCCTCTCTTTCTGCCCCACCTCTACTCACACACACTCTCTCAAAATAAATAAACTCAAAAAAAAAAAAAAAAAAAAAAGATTTCTTAGTTGGGACTTTTCCCGATGACAATAACCAAATCAAAAGAACAAGTCAACCACTACGGCAGCAGGCCAATCTGCAACTGGAGTTACTCTAGAAGCCCAGGAGCCAAGTAAATCATGATGAGCAACCATCCAAGCATAAACCAGACAGCAGCAGTGTGCGTGGGCATACATACATACACATGTACTTGTACACTGGGCTTAGGGAAATAGAAGATGTATTGAGTGTACTTGTATTATGTAATTCTATCTTTTGTGATTCTAGGTAGTAAATAATTATAGCAATATACAGTAACTTGTACACAGCAACAATATTCAAATATTGCATATTCACTGAAATTAAGGTTAATACACAATAAAGCTGCCTTTGCCGCATTAAGGAAAAACACAGTATAATAACCCACTGCAAGGAAAAGAAATCCTAAACAGTTTACATGGACCATATGATAAAGGATATTTTTGAGAGGTAAATTTATTTTCCATATTAAAGGTTTCGAAACATTTCAAGTGTCAAGGAATTATTTTTAGTAAAAGCAAGGTCTTCATATCTGAAGCATTTTCTACAAACATCCCATAATATATAGCTGGTTTTCAAAGAAAATGCAAATGATTTTTTTTTAATATTTTTTTATTTATTTCTAGGAGAGAGAGAGACAGCATGAGCAGGGGAGGGTCAGAGAGAGAGGGAGACAAAGACTCTGAAATAGGCTCCAGGCTCTGAGCTGGCAGTCAGCACAGAGCCCGACGCAGGGCTCGAACCCACAAACCGCGAGATCATGACCTAAGCGAAAGTCGGACGCTTAACCGACTAAGCCACCCAGGCACCCCAAATGATTCTTAATGAAAATAATTCCAACAGTTGGATGATGGAAGATACAAACCTTGAATCATATCCCCAATGCATCGCATAGATTTTAGCCAGGTGACCCCTCAGCGTACGTCTTGTTCGCATCTGTATTCGACCCACGGAATCCATATTGGATGTGATCTTTAGAAAGCATCAAGAATGTTATTTTCTACCTTAGACATAGCTCAGAAAATAAAGTAGAAACAACAGGCATAAGACACAAAACAAACTGATAGCAACTAAAGGTAGTTTAAATAATTCCAGAGTCATTATAGATTATAGATTATAGGATCAGTAAATTGAAGAAAAAGTAGGATTTAAAATTATCCTATTTGCACACCTTCCTGTGAGAATATCTACTACAGACTATCAACTTTTAAAATGATTTTACTTACTTTAGTAAAAACACCAGCCACAAATAAAAATCGAAGAGATGATCAAATAAAACATGTATAATTTTAACTGTCTATAAGAAAGCAAGCTTTAGCACATATTTCCTTAATACAAATTATCAGTACTAGTTAAGCTAATGAAACCTTTGTTAAGAGTTTATGTAAGAAAAAAATAGTTAACCAGGACATATCAAAAAGAATCAGAAGCTAACCTAAAAAAATACATATGAATCTACATGTTTTGTAGTATTTGTTTTTCCACAGGCTTCTATTTTAACAAGTATACTTTAAAACGCATATGTACAGCATCTGACAAGTTACAGTGTTTTTAAATAGAGATCTCATTTTTCTCAATACTAATAAAACCATCTACATGTCATATGCACCAGTGTTAAGCTACTTCATGTGAATTACCAAGATGAAGAAAAAATAAATTTACCTGAATAAGTGTTGCATCATTACATGCTTTCCTGGCATCCTGAAGAAAGAGGATTATAATACTTTTAAACACAAATCTCTGGATAGGACTTAAAATACTATTTTCATTGAAAATGTAGACTTAGAAATATACCTTAGACTTAAATAAAGATTACCACATAATCTTTATTTAAAATTCAGTGGCTGGTACATTCACAATGTTGTGCAACTGCCACCACCAATTCCAGAACATTTATCATTAAAACAAACAAAAAAACCCTATACTTCCCAATTTCTTCATCCCTTGGTAATAAGTAGTTTACTTTCTACCTCTATGGATTGCCTATTCTGGACATTTCATATAAACAAAATCCTAGAATAGGACCTTTTGTCTGGCTTCTTTCACTTCATGCAGGTTTTCAGGGTCCCTCTATATTGTGGTGCATCAGTACTTCATTTCTTTTTATGGCTGAGTAATATTCCACAGTATGTCCATTAACTGATGGATATTTAAGTTGTTTCCTTTTTTGGGTTTTTTTTGTTTTGTTTTGTTTTTTTAAATGTTTTTTTTATTTATTTCTAGGAGAGAGAGAGACAGCGTGAGCAGGGGAGGGTCAGAGAGAGAGGGAGTCACAGACTGAAACAGGCTCCAGGCTCTGAGCTGGCAGTCAGCACAGAGCCCGACGCGGGGCTCGAACCCACGAACCGCGAGATCATGACCTAAGCGAAAGTCGGACGCTTAACCGACTAAGCCACCCAGGCGCCCCATCCATTTTTGGATTTTTAATGAATAACGATGCTGTGGACATTCACGTACAAGTTGTGTGTACACGTCTTCAATTCTTCTAGGAATGGCAAGTGATATGCTAACTCTGATTAATTTTTTAATCAAATGTCAAATTGTTTTTTTTTATAGTTTATTTTTGAGACAAAGAGAGACAGAGCACAAGTAGGAGAGGGGCAGAGAAAGAGACACAGAATCCAAAACAGGCTCCAGACTCTGAACTGTCAGCACAGAACCCGACGCGGGACTTAAACCCATGAACCGTGAGATCATGACCTGAGCCGAAGTCGGACGCTTAACCGACTCAGCCACCCAGACGCCCCTGTCAAATTGTTTTCATCACAGCAGCTGTACCATTTTACATTTCAACCAGGAATGTATTAGGAGCTTTCCAATTTCTTCACACCCTCACCAACACTGCTACCTTTCTTTTATTACTATAGCCATTTTCATGGTTGTGAAATGGTATCTAACTATAGTTTTGATTTGCATTTCTTTAATGATTAGTAATGGTGAGCATCTGTACATGTGCTCATTGGCCATTTGTAGATCTTCTTTGAAGAAATGTCTATTCAAATCCTTTGCCCATTTTTAAACTGTTGTTCATTGTTGAATTGTAGCAGTCCTTTATATATATTCTGGACACAAGACCCTTACCCTAAATAATACATTATAATACCCTATACTATATGTACAGTATTCTATAATGTATTTTCACATTCTGTAGACGGTCTTTCCATTTTCTTGATTAGTGTTCTTATATACAAGTTTTTCATTTTGATGAAGTCTGATTGATTTCTTCTGTTGCTTGGGCTTTCAGGGTCATATTCAGCTGTTGCCAGGAGTGCCTGGGTAGCTCAGCTGGTTGAACGTCTGACTTTAGATCAGGTCATGATCTCCCTGTTTGTGGGTTTGAGCCCTGCATCAGGCCCTGTGCTGACAGCTCAAAGCCTGGAGCCTGCTTCAGATTCTGTGTCTTCCTCTCTCTCTCTCTCTGCCCCTCCTCCTCCATCCCTCCCTCTCTAAAAATAAATAAAAATATTAAAAAAACTGTTGCCTAATCCAAGGTCACAAAGATTAAAAGCTATACTTAATTCAAAGAATTTTCATACTTTTAGTGTTTATATTTAGGTACCATTTTCAGTTAATTTTTATAAATGGTTTGAGGTAGGAGTCCAAATTCATTCTTCTGCATGTGGATATCCAGTTGTCCCAGCACCATCTGTTGGAAATACTATTCTTTCTCTCTCAAATAGTCTTTGTTATCCTCACTGAAAATCAACTGGCCCTAGATAAATGGGTTCATTTAAGGACTCTCAATTCTAGTCCATTGTGCAAATATACTTTTGGTTTATGATTGAAAGATTTTAAATTGCATCCCCATGAGTAAAAATGAACTAGGTTGGTTTAATAAGCCCATAGTATTCTGAGTTATATTTGTTACTAAGCTTCAGCAAAAAAGTTCAGGGTTCCCTTTTGGTTTGTTCTGGCATCTAGAAGTTGAGGTGAGAGGAAGGATATTTATAGCATAACCCAGGTCATTTCAGAAGTATTTTTAAAAATCTGTAACACATCTTTAAAATGCTTACTATACACCATACTTGCAATTAGAAGTAAAACATTTTATATCAAATATGAAGGCAGGATAAACCAAAACAATTTATGTTAATAAGGAATAGCTGACATGGAGTCACAACTATATTCTTATATTAATAGCAAGGCCCTTACATGTAAGCAGGTGTTTATGCTTAAGCATTATAGGAGAGCCTTTCAAAGTGACCTTAAATCTGAAGGAAATCATCAAAAAGAAGATAGTGAAACAGGAATTAATACAACAAAATAACATTTCCTAAGCAACAAAATGTTTTCAAAAGAGTCCCCCAATAAATTTAGAGGATTCATATATATGGGGAAATCAAAAGCACAGTTCTTCCTACTAGGTTTGAAACTACGTTTTCCTCTCAAAAACTAGGGTAGTATCCTCTGTTTTTCTCTATTGAGCTTAGCAGACTCCTATGCAAAGAGGCAGCACACAGTACTTGCTGAATAAATGCCCCAAATGGACAACTCATTCCAGTCAGCCAAGGGGAATATGCTGCCTCTGCTTGCAGCAAAGACCAGATGGAACACAGGATCCTTTCAGCTGCCCTTTCAACCTATTTATAACACTTAGAATCTCTCTATGTAAGGATGTTCTTAAGTAGTTACACAAACATATGATTTGATTCTCTCATTCTTAGTCAAATTGTGGGTTGAGAAACTTCATTTGGCAAGGAATAATTTAGTCCTTTTTCCGACAATGAAAAGAATTTCCAGAAAGGATAGTGATGGCCAGAGCCATGTTCCAAAAATGGTAGAGTCGAAGACTAAATTCTAAAAAGAGGGTTCTCTGATTTTAAGCTTTATGAAAATCTTGTTTAGGTCATCTTTCTTAATTCAGTCATTCAGTAAAAGAAAAAAAAAATCCATTGAACACTGTGTCAGGTACTATTCTGGGCACCACAGATGTAGCAGCAGACAAACCAAAAATCCTGGCCTTCCTACAGGGCTTGTAATGTTAAAAGCACAATTAAACTGCATGTGAAAATTACTGAATAGTGCAAATCAGTAAAAATCAAGATGTTGGAATATAACCATCTACATAAAACAGTTACTTGCCAATCATGCAAAGATTCTGTTCACATTCAGAAGAACTTGCTCTGATGAACTTTCCCATTCCAAGTAGCAATTACAAAGGAAAATTCTGTTTTCTCTACTTCTGTTTTTTAATTTAAAATAAATCATACTGGGGCGCCTGGGTGGCTTAGTCGGTTAAGCGTCCGACTTTCACTTAGGTCATGATCTCGCGGTTCGTGGGTTTGAGCCCCGCGTCGGGCTCTGTGCTGACTGCCAGCTCAGAGCCTGGAGCCTGTTTCAGTCTGTGACTCCCTCTCTCTCTGACCCTCCCCTGCTCACGCTGTCTCTCTCTCTCTCTCTCCTAGAAATAAATAAAATATTAAAAAAAAAAAATTTGTAAAAAAAAAAAAATTGCATACATTTCTATTATGTCATGTGTTTATACCATACTTAAGTATACTGTTAGATTATATTTCTCGAAGTGAGGGGGAAAGCAAAAGGGAGGGTCTTTAAATATAACATGTCATGATTACAGCACTTTACCTACATGTGGTTACTTGAAATCACGGGAGAGGATTCAGGGAGCTCCTACACCCATGCAGTTGTGTTTGGGAGGCTGGTGAGATAGGAAAGGAATTAAGACACAGAATCCTCCAGTTATCAAAAATCTCCCAACAAATCAGAGCCCTGGACCAGATGGCTTCCCTGGGAAATTCTATCAGACATTTAAATCAAGAGTTAATATCCATTTTTCTCAAGCTGTTCCAAAAAACAGAAATGGAAGGAAAACTTCCAGACTCATTCTACAAAGCCAGCATTACTTTGATTCCTAAACCAGAGACTCAGGAGAAAAAAAAAAAAAAAAAAAAGAACTACAGGCCAATATCCCTGATGAACATGGATGCAAAAATCCTCAACAAGACACTAGCAATTTGAATTCAACAGCATATAAAAAGAATTATCCACCATGATCAAGTGGGATTCATTCCTGGGTTGCAGAGCTGGTTCAATATTCGCAAAAATCAATGTGATACATCACATTAACAAAAGAAAAGAACCTTATGATCCTGTCAATAGATGTATAAAAAGCATTTGACAAAATACAACATCCTTTCTTAATAAAAACCCTCGAGAAAGTCGGGATAGAAGGAACCTACTTAAACATCATAAAACCCATCTATGAGAAGCCCTCAGCTAACATCATGCTCAATGGGGAAAAACTGAGAGCTTTCCCCCAGAGATCAGAATCATGACAGGGATGTCCACTCTCACCACTGTTGTTTAACATAGTGCTGGAAGTCCTAGCATCAGCCATCAGACAACAAAAGGAAATAAAAGGCATCAGACTTGGCAAAGAAGAAGTCAAACTTTCACTTTTCGCAGATGACATGATACTCTACATGGAAAACCTGACAGACTCCACTAAAAGTCTGTTAGAACTGATTCATGAATTCAGCAAAGTCACAGGGTACAAAAATTAATGTACAGAAATAGGTTGCATTTTTATACACCAATAATGAAGCAACAGAAAAAGAAATCAAGTAACTAATCCCATTCACAACTGCACAAAAAAACAGAAAATACCTAGGAATAAACCTAACCAAAGATGTAAAAGATCTGTATGCTGAAAATTACAGAAAACTCAGGAAGGAAACTGAAGA